TTGTGAAAATGGTTTGAAGGTGCTACTCGCAAGTAGGCTAAGACGTGGATTTGCCACCCTCAAGTGGGCTTAGAAAAATATGATTTTGCCACTCTCAAGTGGGCTTAAAACACACATTTTGATGAATTGTTCCAATTCAAGTAATCTAACCTTCACCCACAGGCATTCAGGCAGTTATATCACATAAGCAGTTAGCCTCATAGCAAGCATACTATCATGATAACACTCACACTCATGCAAGATGCTAAAGCATAAATACTTATCTAGTACTCCGAACCAAAACAAGAAACTAATTAGAAATCATGCATGATCCTAGTTCATGTTAAGATGGCTAATGCAACACATACCAAATACAACTAGAATAGGCTCGGCTAATCTAAGAATGGCATGTGAAATGCGACGACTCGATACATGTATTCAAGTTGAAATTGAAACACTATGCAATTAGTATGATGCGCCGAGCCCGGTGCGTGCAATACGAATGAATGTATGCAAACATGCTAACATAAGTATGCTAATTGAAACATGACCTAAAACTAACCATCAAAAGCAGGTAAGTAAAAGGGAGAAAGACATGGAGTTGGAAGACATTCACACACGCACGTGCACTTACTACCAATTCGCCCTCTTCGACGGAGGGTCCAAATAAATAATACAAACCCAAATGATTAATCAACTATCCTAGCTAATTAATTATTACAAACCCTTAATTAATTAACAAATTAATTACAAAAAGGAGGCCACTGCAGCTCCATCTCGGAATGATTGAATGATGTATGCTCGATCGCCTCGCTGGGAAACTCGTTGCCATGCCACATGTTGCCTCTGTTTGCACTGTTTTGCATCTTTGAAAATTGTGAAAATCCTTGAGATGCTTCTGAAACACTCCCTGAGCACTGTGGGAGGTCACCGGCCAAGAGATGAAGTCACCGGCCATGGAAAAATGATCATCGACCAAAAGTGGAGCTCTCAGCCAGGTTAAGTTAGCCGGCCGGCACTGAAGATGGCCGACCAGCCATCCCTTCCTGCAGAATGCTATTTTTGCTACAGCAGAGGACAGACAGTGCATGGCAGAGCGTTTACAAGACAATGTGTGCACGACCACCCTCCCTATCATACTACAAAGGAGTATGGCTCTCGACCCTCGGGCCACCAATCATGCATTTCGATGCATGATGGCCAAAGATGTCAAGTGTGCAAATCAATATGAATGAATGCAACAAAACAAATGAATGCTACACACTCTATCATGTTGAATCAAGAGCGTCGGCGACCGAGGATTGAGGTATGTTTCGTCACGTCAAGTACGAACGTCTCTCATTTCTCATGTTTGGTTTGACACCCCAAACCAAACACAATGCAATGCGTGCATGTCAAACACAATGTGACTCAAGTATGCACACAAAGCTTAAGGTAGCAAACATGCCAAATGTAATGCAACCTAAACGTGTAAACATGCAACGTACAAGACAAGCATGCAACAACATGCGGAGATGGACTTAAACTGACATGGGAAGGCCTCAGCCATACCCAAAACAGTGGCCAAAGTCGTGAATTGGGAGCATGGAAATGCAAAACGAACATGCACATGCAAATGGCCCAACACTTAGGCAACAATGCACAATCTTCAAGCATGAGAAAGATGTGATAAACATGAGAGTATGGAAATGCATTAAGCTCTGAAATCATGTGAGGAGTGATGCCAAACCATCTAAACAAAACAAATGTAGCATGCAAGGAGGCCTAAAGCTTAAGGCTAGTGAAGGGACTTGAACCAAAGCTACACAAAACAAAGGGCATATGGCAAGCATGACCCAAAATAGTCTTAAAGCATGGCAAAGTAAGCCTAAAACATACAATGACCAAAGCCAAAACAAGCTAAGACAAAGGGGCAAGAACATGAGGCATGTAAGGCTACCAAAGAGGTATTACACTACGCCTAAGACAACTGAACATAACATGTTTTAAGCCAATAAAAACAGAGTTATGGCATGCCAAAATGAGCCCAAAAACCCGCTTAGATGGCATCCCAAAAGCCTAAACATGATGGCATACACAATGACACATTCATGAGGCACAACATACCAACTCTTTAAAACATTAAATTAGTCATAAGTGCAAGCATAGGAGCATACTATATGGACTGAAATAACATGACAAGTGATGCCAAATCACTGAAATGGTCGAAATAAAGCATGCTAATGACTTGAACACTCAAAACTAACAAGCTAGATTACATGATGGCTATACAAAGCATGGCATATGTGACCCAAGCAACCAAAATCAGACCTCAAGCATGACAAAACAAAGCTAAAAGCTTCTCAAAGTTAAGTCAAAACATGTAAGCATGGTGGTCTAAACACAAGGTGCATGTTAAGGCAAATGAGGGGATTGCAAAGCAAGTATATGAAGCATGTAAGAGCTGACTAAACCCACCCAAAACAGAGTTATGGCATGCTAAAACAACACCAAAAATCCACTGAAATGAGGTCAACATAGGCTAGAAAGACATGCTCAAACATGAAGCATACAAGACTAGTTTGCAAAATTTACACTACAAGTGTATAGACCATCCATGGAATGACCAAGATAGGCAAAAACAGTGGTATATCACAGCAAAATAACCACAAATACCAGCTAAGACATGGCCAACATGAACTTAACGAAGGTGCTCACATATAAGGCAAATATGACAAGTATTGAAGACAACAAGGAGAGGGGATGGCCCTCTCCTTCTTAGGACCTCGAAACACCATTCAGTGGTGAGAAGGCCAATATAAGGTGGTCCCAGAGCTCACAAAAAAAGGCACAAAAATGAGGCCAAACAAGGCCTAAGAAGGGATAAACAACCCCAAACACAAAAGTGATCTTAAACAAAGATCAAAAGTATGTAAAAACAGAACTTTTTTCAGTTGGACACTAAGCTTAAAATAGTATGCAAGTATTGCTAAAAGCTTAAGCAAAAATGTGGAATAAAAGAATAGTTTCTCACCCTTGAAGAACACTTCAAGAACACCAACTCCAGCACCTCCTTTTGATCAAAACCAACTCAAAAACTCTGAAAACAACTCCTTAGCACCTCAGTAACTAAGGGATAGTGTACCACTAGGTGCTTTAGTGCAAAAATATGAACAAAACACCCTTTAGAACACTATTACACACACAACTATATAGAGAGAGGAGATATAGATAGAGTGATATATATATTCTATATCAGTTGGTTGAACCCCTAGAAAGGGAGGGGAGGCTCTCCTCTTATAGGAAATCTAATTCCAAGCTTCCAAGGGAAGTTAAGTGTAAGGATGAAATCCCTCCATACACGTGTATGGAGTGCAGAGTTTGTGCTCACCAACTGGCACAGCTGGTATGCACAATGCTTGAAAAAGGCAAAGAAAATGCCTCGGCCAGGAAAAGTGGCCGATCGACCAAGAAAATGGCCGGCCGACCAAATACAGTGCCGATCGACCAATACATTTGGCCAGTGGCAAGAAACAAGGCCAGTGGCCTCAGGCCATGGCCGGTGGGTTGAAGGGATGGCTAACAAGCCACTTTCTACCCTCAGAAGCTAAAAACACAAGTGTTTGGCCCACAACCAAGCACAAAACTAACAAGTTAAGAGATCTTGAGGCAAGGCGAGCAACCGAGACTTCCTAGAACTCAAAATGAACACAAACATGGATGATCATCGAGTGTTCAAACGATGACGTCCAAGTCTTGAGGACGGTCAAAAATGGGGTGTCTACATAGTTGAGCTATAAATGCATCCAATTTTGCTTTGAACACCTGTGAGCTATGTTACATATTTCCTCTCAAGAGGGTTGGTATGGAAGAGGCAGTTTGTTCCCTATTTGGCATTTCTTGATTTGTATAAACCTTTGATGAGTCATATGACATGGTTATTGGCATGCTGAATTTGACAGACCAGATTGAAATCAATATTCTTTTTGATTTCTTTGTTATTTCCATAACATGTTACTGGTTTTGCTATTGCTCTATGGACTGGTGGTTGCTCCTAGCTAGTATGTGTATGTGTTGTGCTTCATGCGTGTTATGTGGACAGAGATTGTGGAGTTACTTCTATGGCCTAGCTGTTGTGTTTCACAGTTGGTTGTTGCTACGCCTAATTGTGTATGTGAACAAACTTTAGGATATTTAACTTATGAAAAAAAAATGATTTGATTTTGCAGGATCAGTTTGATTAACAAGGCAATCCGAGTGATGTAGCAAGGACTTTAAACACACAACTTGGTCGGCGAATGAGTGGCTTCACCTATAAGTTGCACAAACAATACAATAAACTTAAGGATGCAAGAGGGAAGGAGTACGCGAGAAGGTACCCACCTGCAAGTGTTACTCTTAATCAGTGGACATCTCTAATTGACAAGAAATGGAATAGTAAAGAATTCATGGTAAAATGTTTTATATTAATTGTCAAAAATTAAGTTTCTTCTTACTAATGTTAAGTTTTGTTGTTTTTATTGGTGTTTCAATCGTGTAGGAACAATCACTAACTAATGTGAATAATAGGATGCAAAACCTCTAAAAATTATTTTTAAATTTATTGTTGGGTCACAGTTAATTGATTCCTAAATAAATAAATAACAAATGCAATGCAACAATGACAAATTTAGGGAGAGATATTTTAGGGGTCATTTTTTTTTTCCCAAAGCAACTATGTTTACAATTTTCACCTTAATCATGTTAAAGCTCATTAATTAATTCCAGCATACATACATCATGAATTTATTTTCATCCTAAATTGCAACAATTTTGGAATATAATAGATAAATTATTATCTCTCTTAACTCATGCTTTTAGGATAAGTTTATAAAACCTTATTTTGAAACTTTTGTGATAATTAAGAAGCTTTATTTGATCTCCGATGAATGACAAATGAGCTATGAAACAATGCATTATTGATAAATTCGCCAACAGATTATGAAGAATTGCATTTGATAAAGTATTGGGTGATATCATTCTTAATTGAAACATGTAGGCAATTAAATGCAATCATAAAAAGAGGTCAAGGGTTGTGGATTAGCACCTTGAGGTCCACGGGGAGGAATAGGATCCATATAGTACTGCTTCTTATTCTTTTTCTTCAAGAAACATACCAAACAAATGATGATCATAGCAAGAACCACAATGCCACCACCCACGGCTGCTCCTACAATAATTCCTGTATATGATGACGATGATGATGATGATGGTGGTGGCGATGATGATGTTGGTGAGTGGTGGTGACTAGAGGATGAAGGCGGTGACTTGCTCGACGTGTGTGGAGGTGGAGGCACTGAGATAGAAGATGGCGGTATTGGTACAAGTGACGGAGGAGGTGGCAAAGCCAAGCTGGGTGAGCCTGGATTGGTGAAATTTGTTGTAGAAGGCGGTGGTGGGGAAGCAACAGTAGTAGGAGGAGGCGGTGATAGTACTAATGACGGTGGTCGTGGTGGTGAGTGTGGCGGTGAGCCATTTGGTGCAGGTGGTGATGGCGATGTAGTTGGCGGCGGGGATTCGGTTTTTTCAGGTGGTGGTGGGGAAGGAGAAGGTTTAGGGGGAGGGGATTTTGCAGTTGGTGGAGGAGGAGAAGCGGGTGGCGGTGATGACGGTGGTGGTGACGATGGTGGTGGTGATTTTGTTGGTGGAGGTGATGTTGAATTTTTAGAAGGCGATGACGATGGAGATGAAGATTGTTTAGAGTCGGATAGAGGAGGCGGTGATTGAGATTCCGGGGACGGAGCAGTCACGGAGGCCATATTGAAATTCCGGTCAATATTTATGAGTCAGAATACACGCCGGAAATTCCCCTCCTCCTCTACCGTAACTGCTCGCCGCCAATACTTCAGGACCCTAAACACAACAACAACAGCCACCCACAAAATGGCTGAGATTCAATTCAAAAACAAGAAGCTCATTTGTAGCCACAAACCAATTACGAAACAAACGCTCAAGCTAAAGTTACATTAATTTAGTTCAGGCAATGTCTAGAACACCTTTGTCATAATAAATAATGATTAATTAAGAAATACAAATGCGTAGTACTCCAAAAATATTGAATAATTTCTCCAATTAAACTTCTAACTTCCAATTCCAACGAATTGCATACTCGTTTTTTTTTTTTTTTGAGCAGAACGAATTGCACACTCAAGATAGGATAAACAGAGGTACATCCGCGTCACAAACGCGTATTAAGACAAAACTTTCAAAACTTAGACTGCAACAACAATAACAAGAAGGAGAAAAATAAAATAAAATCATGTCACTCACTAATTGGAATCAGTCAATCACCATTCAACGAAATTAATGGGTGTCCTCTAATTTCCCATTATTTTCTCCACTTTTCACTCAACAACTCTATAAACCCACCCACCACCACACATTCTTCCATTTCTCAGCCCCATTTTGCCAAATCCTTTTTCCATCACCATAACCTCTCTTTTCTAGTCTATTATAATTCTTTTCTACCATGTAAACTCCAGGTCCATTTTCTTTGTTCCCTCACATTATATCCCAAACACGACCACATCATTCCTCATTCTTTTTTGTTTGGTTTTGTTGTTGTTGGTTTTGATTTTGGTTTGGTTTTAAGTTTGTTTATATATATAGCTTAATGAGATATGGACCCAGGTGAGCTACGTCGGGTTTTTCAAATGTTTGATCAAAATGGGGATGGAAAGATAACCAAGAAGGAGCTTAGCGACTCGTTAGAGAACTTGGGCATATTCATTGGAGATAAAGAACTTGTTCAGATGATTGAGAAGATTGATGTGAATGGAGACGGGTACGTTGATATTGACGAATTTGGGGCATTGTACCAGACGATAATTGAGGAGAGAGACGAGGAGGAGGATATGAGAGAAGCATTCAACGTGTTCGATCAAAACGGTGATGGGTTCATCACTGTGGATGAGTTGAGGTCGGTGTTGCAATCGCTAGGGTTGAAACAAGGGAGAACCCTAGAAGATTGCAAGATGATGATAAAGAAGGTGGATGTGGATGGGGATGGGATGGTCAATTACAAGGAGTTCAGACAGATGATGAAGGGTGGTGGTTTTGCTGCATTGAGTTCAAGCTGATATGATAGAAAACAAGAAAAACAAAAACAAAAACAAAGAAAACACACAAACAAAAGATGTACAATGTAATATGAACTTTTGGAATATAGAGGGGGAGATGAGGAGGAAAGGGAATCTTTTGTTGGAGACTTCTTGTATCATGTATCATGTATGTTTGTAATGAGTACAACCACCCCATGCATAATTGTGGATTTTCATATTATCACAACCTTTATATAGTGGCTTTTGATGTTTTTGTTTCATATAGTCTTTGTGATTTGAATTCTAATGTGTACTCTACAATAACTTTCATATTGCTAGTTTTTAATATTCTAATTTTTGTAATTTGGATTGTATGAGTTTTAATCCTGCTTGACCTTTCAAAATTATTTGTGTGACATGTTTTTAATATGGCTACCCTTAGGGTGGATAAAGATTCACCGCCACGCATTCATGATTTATTACATGTGAGATTATACTTTAGATTTGTTGAATTGAACTAGTTAAAATTTTTAAGTTTAACTATAAATATTGATAGAATTGGTTTTAATTTTGAGTAAAAGGAGGCCTTATCTTTCAATCTTTGTTTAAAACCTAAGAAAAATATACTTATTTTAAAATTTTAGAAAGAGGAAAAATCTTATATTGTTTAAAGATCAAAAAAAATAAAAATATTTCATTGTCAAAGGTTTTCAATCATAAATGCTTGAAAAACATGTTTTTGTTCGAAAGGCCCATAGTATACTTCTTTGTATAAAGGGCCCAATTGTAAAGGTCAAAGGAGAACAAAAATTTCTCATTTAGATCATAATAACTTGAATACATTATATGGAAATTTTAGTGAAAATCTCCTAAACCTAATATGTTAGTGTGTAAAGGATAACTCAAAATATTTTACTTCCTAAATCTCCTATGCAAAAAATGTGTTTTTCATCAAGGACAAATAAATATGTTTCATATTTCTTTGGATAATTTTATCCTATCATATATATATATATATATGAGAAGTCGAAACTTCTTCATCAATCTCCTTTTTTTTTCTCTTTAAAAAACATAGACAAAGAGAGAAGAAGGAGAAGACGACAATTGATGAGAGAAAGAAGAACACAGGAAGAGCTAGTACGAAAGACATATGACCGGAGCCATCCACCGTCTATCGTTTGTGGCAGCACGATCCGCCGGAGCCCTCAATAGAATCCCTCATCGCTCTAAATTTATTATCATTTCTAGATTTCTTACAAACATTAATAGTGGTTAGAGAGAAAGAGATGCAAAATTTATTGTATAAATTGATTATATGAATTGATATTCTACAATGTGTCACTTATGTGTCATTTTCAATTAGCACAAAGAGAGTTTTTGAAGCTTTTGAAGCTGCTATTGAGTATTTTACGAGCATGTATGGGTTTTAATTTTTAAAAGTAGTGTAAATTCACATGTAGGGAGGGTCATACTCGAATTTTTTTTTTTGTTGATGTTCTTAATGGTGGTGATGAAGATCTGTTGTTTTGATTTTTTTTTTCAGATCTGTTGGTGGTGATGTTCTCTTGTTGAGATGTTGATTTTTTTTTTCTTTTGATGATGTTGTATTTTTGGCCGGGGATTTTCGGGGTCGGGGAAACCCGATCCCCGTTACGGGGCGGGAGTGGGGGCGGTAGTTGGTTCCCCGTCGGGGATGGGGACGGGGACGGGGGGAAGTTCTGCCATCGGGGATCGGGGACGGGGAGGGTGATCCCCGGCCCCGCCCCGCCCCGTTGCCATTCCTAAATGTTAGGGGCTAGCGAAAGCAAATAACAAATATACAACGTCCATTGAGCTATGCAGACTTATATGAGATAGAAAAATTTTAAACTTTTTATATACATATATACACATCATCCCTGCGTCATAATATATATACAGATCAGACAAAAAGGACTTAGCCCCTTTTTCAAAATACACAAGATTTGTTAACCAAACAAGAAAACAAAACTTAAACTTTAAATCACATAGCGATAATCACTTGACATATCCGGAACCTCCACGGGAGGCACATAGGTTGGCTGACAAAAACAGATTCTAGACAGATGCCACTAAGCCTGGTCGCGCGTCTGATCACCTACATACATAAATAATACAGTAAGCTAGAGCCCAGTGAATAATAACAGAGTAAAGGGTTTTAATGAATGAGTCCGTATAGATTCATAATTCATAATTCAATTTCGTATCAAATTCATAATTTGTCCAGGTCATATACAGAAATCATAAGTCATGTGTAAGTATACGTGATACATCCATAAGCGCTAACAGAGCAGATACATAGCAGATGCAGACACGTGAGGGTTACGAATAACCAGTTCCATAAAGGAACCTTCGGATCCGGGTAACAGAGAATAAACACGCTGAGCCCCATGATGGAGCCATCGGTACGGGTAACAAAGTGCAGACAGATTAAGTTCCATGATGGAACCTCCGATACCGGGTAACAGCCAACACATATCACATAATACTAAGGATGTCATGAACACATATCAGAAATTGGACAATCATTCATTGTACAGAACATAACATTTCAGAAAACAATTCTTATTTCATCATACAGAAAATAAATAAGGTTGAACATAGCTTTACTATGTTATTACTCACAGATAGCCGCAAATGCAAATCAGACGAACTGGACATATCAGATAAATCAAGCAGACAATGGCGCGTGACCTACACAAGCACATAACATATACACATTGAAATACAATATTACTCCCTTGATCAAACTTGACTTTTCTAGTCTTTTCCGTTTAAACAGTCCGAAATTCTACTACGCTTATTCTTTCTCATTCAAATAAACCGGGTTCTTATTTCACATATTCTTTCATTACTAAGCCCTTCTTTTCCAAATAGATTGATCTTTTACTTGGCTTCTTAAGCAATTACCACTAGATCAATGATTCATTCTTTAACTAACTAATCTATGTTGATTGGTAGCTTATTAATCTTCATTGAGTTATAAATCATGTCTAGAATGCTTTGAAAAGAGATGAGAATAAAAATGTGAACTAAATGCAACTTTCCAAAATATGCTGAGCGGACTATAAAATTTGAACAACTTCTAGGAGCTCGATTTTCACCCTCGAGCGAGACTTTCCTCGCTCGAGCAGACATCGTAAATTTTGGAATTTCCAGAATTGCAATTGAAGTTCAAATTTGATATTCAAAGCCTCAAAACATGTATTTTTGGTACACAAAAATGGAGATCCATTGTATGATTTAGTAAACATTTTCAATTAGAAAACATTCATTCAAAATCATGTTCCAATTGCCCAATTTTAGTTTTAATTCATCTTATTAATATCAACCCACAATTCTAAAATATAAATTAGACGTCCCAACCTCTTGAAATTCCATGATGTATGTAATACAAATAGATCTAATTTTACTATTAATAACAAAATCAACTTAACTTAGTTTTTAACCAAATACTTAATTTATAATCATGGGTGTTCTAAAATGTATCTAAATTGAATAATATTCTTAAATTACATCACATGCATGGATTAAATAAAAATCTAATTATTAAATCAAAACTTTAGGATTAATTCCAAATTTTCATAAACTTGATTTTCTTAAAACATTTCCTTTGTCTCTTCAAAATATGAACTTGAATGGCTTAATTCCCTTAAAACTCATGTATTACAAGATAATACTACAAAATTAAATCAAAAAAATTAATTTTCCAAGTTAATTTCCACAACTATGAGTCTACTTAATTTCTTACTTTAGATACAAGCTACGTTCCCGGAATCACATCAACGCTAAATTCAATTTCCCTGTCAGTCAAATCCCCTGGCAGATTATCTGGAAAAACATCTGGGAATTCTCTGACTATAGGAATACTGTTCACGTTAGAATTATCATCAGTAGGTACAGTCAATACAGAACACAGATATCCCTTACACCCCTTTCTAATCAATTAAACAGCTTTCACAAATGAAATCAAGTATGAAGGAGGTACTACTCCAACCCCATTAAACACAAATTCGGATAAACTCGGTGGACGGAAAACTACTTGTTTCGTTACACAGTCTATGGTAGCATGGTATTTCGTTAACCAGTCCATTCCCAATATTACATCAAAATGATCAATGTTCAGGGGCAATAAGTCAATAAACAAATGTGCATCTCCAACAATAATTTCACAAGTAGGGTACATATATGCACAGGTCATAGATCCCCCAATGGGTGATGATACAGCTAACAGATAATTCATGGGTTCTAATGGTCTATTCAGTTTTCGCGAAAAAGCATGCGACGCATATGAATGCGTAGACCCCGCATCAATCAGTACAGAAGCATTTTGAGTACAAATAGAGAGAATACCTGACACAACGGTCTCGGTATTCTGCACGTCTCCCGATACTAGGGCGAATACTCGGCCCTGCCTCATGGGCTCTTTCCCGGTAGCTTTGGGGTTCGATTTTGGTGCAACAATTGATGCTGCCACGCTTGGTGCAGCTTTACTACTGGCTTGTGGAGCAGAGGGGCAGTCTTTAACCATGTGGCCTACCTTGCCACACCTGTAACAGGCTCCAGATATTTTGTAACAGATCCCTTTGTGCTTCTTGCCACACTCAGAACAGGGTGGTATGAAACCATTCCCTTGGCTGGGGCTAGTTGTTGACCCCGTATTCTGTTTCTTGTTCAATGGGTTATGCTTGCTTTTCTTGAATTTAAAGCCCTGCCTTTTACCACGCCATTCAGATGCTGGTGTTTCAGTTTTCAGTACTTCGATGTTCGATTTAGCCATCAAGGCTCAGTCAAGAACATTTACATAATTCGGAAATTTCAGAACATTTATTCTGTCGAATATTGCAACATTAAGGCCGCCTTCAAACTTTCTGGCCTTCTTATAGTCAGTGTCAACCATATGTGGTGCATAGCGGGCAAGTTCAGTAAATTTTGTCTCATATTTAGCAACTGACATTGTGCCCTGTCTCAGTTGTTCGAATTCAGTTACTTTTCTATCCCTAACACACAGAGGGAAGTACTTTTCAAAGAAGGCTCCTTTGAATTGAGCCCAAGTCATAACAGTATTGTCATTACGGATAAGCATCCACCACCTTCTAGCTTCTTCTTGCAAAGTAAAGGTGGCCAATAGCACTTTATGTGTTTCGGAGCACGGAAAAACCTCAAATAATTTTTCAGTCTCGAGAACCCATGCTTCAGCTTTTAACGGTTCAAGGCCTCCCTGGAAGGATGGCGGTTTC